CTAGTTTCTAGCTGAAAGATCATTAGCAGTGCATAAATTCCGTGATACAGTTTTGGGACCTTAACCTGTGCCACACCAGCATCTTGAGCACGCAATGAAGGCAGGGAAATGGAAGTCAGTGGAGCAAGAGTGCTCAGGAACAAGCTCGCACCCTGTCACTCCAACCTTATGTTTTATTATTTTGGCCCAGTGCCTGCGGAGGTGCATCAAGTCGTTTCTCAAGTTATCTCACAAGGATGATAGCTTCTTTGTCCTAATGAGCAATCTAAGGCTCAGTTGTTGGCAAAGGTCCTTTTTGAACCAGCTTGAACACCAAGAAATTGGGGACTGAAGGCACAGGTCTGGAAGAAAAGGGACAAGTTTGAGCAAAATGCAATTTCCTGCTCTTGGGGTGGTTGGCTAAGAAGGACTATAGGCTAGCAGCAGTAGCAACTGCTATTAAAAGAAAGAAAATTAGAAGACAAATGCCGTGGAACATGTGTAAGAAGTCTCCAGGGCAACCTCTACATTTAGAAGGTCCTTTAAATTATCACAAATGTATTCAGTATAGTTCTGCTCTGCTTTCAGTAGAGGGCCATGTCAGTAGGGTAACTCACTTCTGCTGGTTGCCTGAGGAACTATTTAAGTCGGGCTTAGCTGTGCTGACTTCTTGAGAGCTTTTCAACCATTTGCAGCACACAGCGCAGATCTATTTTAGTCATCCATGTTTATTCTGTGCTGTTTGCACAAGGTCTCCCTCAGCCAAGATTCATGGCTATGCTGGATACTATTTCAGACTATGCCAGTTTATAATAGCAAGACTCTGAAATGACCTGGTCAAGAGAATTATGTGGAAATTTGCTTGACAAAAGAGTGTTTGAACCAATTGTGTTGAAATAGTTGGATAATTTGCAACTTTTGTTATAATAATCCAGTGACACATCAAAATACAAGAGAGATTAAAATGAAGAATGATTTGCTTTGTATCCCCCAGAGTTTTTGAGACATTCAAGCCTTCTGGTATAGCAACATAACTAGACATGGGCTATTACTTTGCACTTAGCTACAGAAGAACAGAACACAAGGTTGTAATTCCCACAGAGGTCTGTAAGGCCATCAAATTTTTACAGTAGAACGGCTGCCAGTTCATCAAAATGAGTCCTTTTGTATTACAGAATTAGAAATGTTTTGGGTTAAAGAACATATTGCTCATTATTATAGACACTAATATGAGAGAATTTTGAAGTCACACCTTCTATAAAGCAAATAATACTGTATCAGAAGGGGAAAAAAAAAAGGACATTTACATCATACAAAGTTATGTGTGTTACTGGCTTGCTTAGACATTTCTGACCACTCGAAGTAGTCATACACAGGTCTCGGGCTTCATGGAAGATGCTCTCTATATAATTATCCCCCGCCTTCACATACACCGTGTTTCCAGTCTGGTTTTCAGGCTTGAACTGAGCCTTGGGCTAAGATACTCCATGGATCAGCCATGGTTACTCAGAGAGCATCAAAGTCTGGAGGAATAGCACAGCACAATCAGATTTTTCCTTCAAAAAAGAAGTGGAAAAAAGGGAAATAACAACATGATTCTTATCCAGTGATTTGCTATCTTCTGCACAACTAAGGCAGGAATCATTTCCTCTGAATACCACAGAATGTCCTTCACCATGAGTCTTTCAAACAACTGGCCCCTTGTCTGACAGTCCCCCCCATTAAAGTACTTGATGTTGTTTGTTGTTCTTCACTCTTGAACTTCGGCTCTTTTTATCAAGATAAGTTTTGCAAATGGAGGAGACTGAACAGGAGATAAAGTCATAGATGCTAACAGGCCTGTCATTGTCTTTTAACAACTCTTGTGTATCTGCAGAGGATGGAAAGTCTTGTGATATTTTTCTTCTATGCTCACTTCCTCTTATGTAAGTTCCCAATTATCTGGTATATCCATAGAGTAAATACAGAGCCCAAGATATAATAGTCAAATTGTTACACAACACCAACAAATCATAACAGAAGTTGCCATGCATATTACATACTAGAAATGATATTTCTGAAGTCACAGCCAAAGACTTCAGATTTCTATTGTTTCCTAGGAATATTTGGAAATCATAATATTTTCTTATTATTTACAGTGGCCATACTACAGAAGTCTACCACGTGCAAAATTTTCATATTTTGGCAGCAAGGAAAACCCTGAAAAATCCACTTCAGGAAAATCATGGAACATTCAGCATGAGAGAATTCAATGCCACTTAAGTACCTATATATAGGTTATAAGAAGTGTGGGTGTGAAGAGTATCTCCCAGCTAACCTAAAAAGCAGCAAAATATCTTTTAAAAATATCATGCACATTAGGGATGTACAGTCCACTGTCCCTAAAATCTTCACGGTATTATGAATTAAGAAGAAAAAAACTCAACAAAACAACCCCCTGCTTAGTCAAGCAAAATGAAGGACAGAAAAATAATCAAGCCGCATAGCTTAGTAAGAGTTAGGCTTTTTAAAAACAAACAGCTTTCCTGGTTGTAATTTTCTATGATGTTGCTAGTAACAAAGAGGAAGTAGAGTTTAAATGACAATAGCTTTTTTTTTTCCATTGTATAAGCATATAATCATACTGACAAGATGAACTGAAGTCTGCATTTCAAGTAGAAATTTAAACTGTATGCTATATATAAAAAATATAATGTATTCATCCACAAATTGTGCTTTGAATACCAAATACATTTTCTAAGAATTTAAAAGTAAATACACCAATTAAATTAGAAATTAAAAGTAACATTTTGGGAATTAAAATGAAAACTTCAGGTTGTAGAGCTGGACTTTTTCACCTCCTTCTGACCTTGGCATAGCAGCATCATTCAAATTTCTAACCCAGGCTGAACAACTACAGATTGCCTAGCTTTCTTGTATCACAATGATTTGGGAGTAAAGGTTTTGAGGATCGAACTTTTAGAGGTAATGGGCATCCAGCGTCCACTGAGACTTGCGGGGTTCAGCAACTTTGAGAACCGATGTCCAAGGGTTCCTTTTAAAACAAATAGTAAAATTCATGTTTGCTTACATTGTGTAAGATCGAGTGACAAAACAGCATCTTAGAAAGCAACCCTCACTGAAGCAGAAAAGTTACAAATGAAGTAATGAAGGTTTAGCAAGTCTGCTGCTAAAACCATGCAACAGGCTACTTGAGGATAGTCTGGTTGCTGACTGAGACTTTTGAGACTTTTCCTTTCTAGATTCTGCTGAATAATCCCAGCTAGTGATTTGCTCTTATAAATATTCAGGAACACCTGTTTTGCTTTTTAGGATAGATGAAATCTGGCATTTCCACTTAATCCTCACAGTTTCAAGTGCTAATTGGCATGATCTTTTTGGAAGCTGGACACTGAGCTATGAACTCCATTCCTGCAGCTACACAGGAACACTGCTAGACTGGTTGCGGTGACCAAGACGGTGCACCTATAATGTACTCTATATACATTCACAACACAGGAACTGGTGTGACTCCAGATGACCCATTTGCACCCACCCTACACTGCACAGAGCGGACCAGGAACAAAATCTCACAGACCTGCATGGCACTTCTGCCTTTGGACACAACCCATCTACATCATTCACACCTAGAATCCTCCAGCCACAACATAAAGAGAGCTGGCTGACTGGTGCCATTGCCTGTCGGTATCTTCTAGCGAAAAATGGAAAGATAAAAAATGCTGAAAGGGGTCGAAAGTCTGAACCATACTGGAAAATGGGGTCATCCAAGCTCCCCGAGAGCACCCACAGGTATAGCATCTGCCTGGCTTTAGGTTCTTGCCCTGGCACTCCAGGTGAGATAGTGCAATAATGCACTCCAAGGCCAAAAATTGTGGACACTCAGGATTTTATGTTCAGTGTGAAGCAGGGCTATATGAGTGCAACCCACACATTTGCAAGAAGATGCTACATATACTTCTTTCAAAGTGCAATTTAAAACAAGTTTGTTCTTTTGTAGACATACGCACGTGGAAGTGGTTTTATTTTAAGGGCAAGCACACAGATTGATTCCTTATTCCCAGACATACATTCTTTGGCAACTTACACATTAACCTCTTATCATAGGCTAGTGGATGCCATATTTTCCTGACAACCTTCCTAAAATACTGACAAGAAACTTCATGAAGAAGGGCCTTATCCTAGAGAGGATGCTCTTCACACATACTGCCTTGAGCAGCTGATGTACTCAGTAACTTAAAAGGACATTAATTTAGGCCCTAAGAAAGAAAATGGGATAAAAACAAATTTATGAAAATCAGCAAGGGGAAGTACATCAAATGAAGCTGCTGTACAATGTGATCTTAAAACACAGTTTAACAAAATTAAGAGTTGTAATGAAGTTCAACTAATTGCTCACACTTCACAATGGTTAGTGTTATTTTAAAAAATATATACTTTTACTTAGAAAAAAACCCCAGCACTTTGTAGCTTTTTCTTCAATTGACAGTGAACTAAGTTCCATACAGAAGCAAAGAATCATTGCTATTTTGCAGGTCACAGTTGCAGCAATCTAAAATAACTTGCTTGAAGTTGCTCAATCATATCAATGAAATAGCAAGAAACAGAACTCAGGACTCAAAATCACTGGATTCTCAACCTCAGAATTTTTTAAAGGTTAGTTTTAAATATTTAGACATTGTTCCCTTGCTATACCAGTACGTGGAACTTCGCGTGTGTGGTGTCACTTTGACCTCAAAGAATTTGCAGGGTAGTTTCTTTGTTTTTATGCAGAGTAAAAAAGGGTTACAAAAAAGCATTTCAATAGGAACAGTCAATGCTGTCAAAATGCAGCCCTGGGAAATAAACAGAAAGCTATAATTCATATTAACTATTTAAAAGCTCATCAGAAAGTCAGATACACAGATTCCAACTGTACGTGCAACTGAATGAGCAGAATCAAAAGCATCAGTAACTGCAACTCTGCAAGAGCTGAAGTCATGTCTGAATAACCACCCTTACAAATATACTCATGTTATTCTTACCAGATTAATCAATCTTCTCATTGCATGTTCATGTGAGCAAATGCATTCACAAGGATCAAATCCACCTTCTGCCATGGTTCTCTGGATAAACCTGAACTTGTCTGTGAACACCTAGGAATAATAAGAATAAAAGGACAATGAACTCTTTTTCAACTGACCTTATTTTCCAGAGACTCACACATCAAGTTTCAGTTCGTTTAATGCCAGGGTGAAAAAGCAAAACAAAGCAGGGTAATCCTATTATTCCTTTGGCAGCATGAATGAGGAACTCCAGTATGTCCAGTTACATTTTGATGTTGCTGAAACCGGTGTCTCACACAGGCTTCCCTAGAGAGCCAAATAATTTTTTTTTGCAAGAATTTGTGTGTGTACCCTGGGTTTTCCCACACACCGCTACGAAATGCAACATAACAAACAAGAACCACAAAGATTAAATTTTGGTCTCTCGTCTGCATAGTGGGACTCTTAATGTATGAGTACAATTTGAAAAGTCAGGGGAGCTTGTACTCCTGAACCCCTAACAAACTGCTAGGCATTCTCCGTCTGGATCAACGTACAGGAAAATAATTTAAAACCCGGCAACTTCTTTGCTATGGGGAGAAACAATCATCCTTCTTGTATAATGAAAGCAAGCAGCAGGGGGTGAAGAAGTGAATATACTTGGAAACACTTTTAAAATGGAGCTACACACACTAATTTTAGATCAAAGAAATAGGTCATTCACTTGGCAACACAGAAAGATCCAAGAAGCTGTGATGGACATGGTGGAGAATCAATTCTAGGTTATTCACCTGCTAAAACCTCTTACACCAGACATGTCAAGCAGATATAAGCGTATCTTTACTATTTACCAATAGCCTTCTCAATGACTTAATCGACGGTCAAAACGGGTAGCAGATTGCAAGGCATTTCTACCCTTGTGGTCGAATCAAGGATTGATTTCTCTTGAATGAGGACTCTTATGATGTATTAAATCAGTTCTGCATAATGATACTTTCAAAATACTTTTGTTAACTTTACATCAATAAAGCTGGATTCAGACTGTGTTTGTGTTGCACGCACTAGGGCCCTAATGTGAGATAACTGGCAAGCTTAATAAGCGCAGCAGCATAAAGCAGATACATCCTCTCAAATTCCTAAAACAAGTAGTTTATGAAGGTGCCAGCCATTTGATAAGGGTGTGCTGAATCAACAGATGTGCTGTGTAGTTATCACCTATAAAAACTTACAGTCTTGATCACACGTAAGCATTTTAATGTTTTAACCTCACTAGGAGAAAGAGGAATAACCCATGTGGCTATAAGATACCTTCATTCAACAGAATGTATCACCATGATAGTTATTCTCTCTTGAGGGAAGAAAGAGATGGAAAAAAGAAAATGCATTTCATAAGTCCTTCCTCTGGCAATACCTACCACTCTTCTGCATTATCTTCTGGCATGAGAGAGAGAGACAGACAAAAAAAGAAGACAGGAGATATCTGTATCTCTATTGAGGAGTCTGAACATCAGTGCCCTTAATCTGCTAGGGTCTTCACTTTTTAAAAAGGATACTGAAAACTGAAAAAGTGAAAAAAAAAAAAAAAGAAGGGATGGAGGAAAGACTTCTACTCTTTCTTAGTGTCTAGGCAAATCTGACCATGTAGTGAAAAGATAACTGAGAGATAGCTTGATCGTGTAGTGTGCAAGTACCTTTGCATAGAAAAATAAACCTGAGTATTGAGAAGTTCTTCAATGAAGAGGTCACCAAGAACCAATGACTGGAAGCTGTAATCAACTAAATTCAAAAGAGAAGATAAGCATACTTTTTTACCATTAGAGTAACTGACCAGTGCAACAAACTGCCAAAGAAGGGGTGGCTTTCCCATCTCTCAATGCATTCAGATGTGCTTCAGCCACATACAGCTCATTGAGTAAAGCATAGGAGCACCAAATGTTCTCCAGTGTACGGGGGAACACAGCAGATGATCTAATGATTCTTTATGAGAGTTAATTATAAAGCTACTACACTAACTTTTGTGAAATTATGTCAGAACCCCTAGAACTGCATTACAGCAACAGAAGAAATTTTTTAACTACACAAGCTCCCCAGACGATATGCCACGTCAACCAGAACAGCCTTTCTAAAACTATTTTAGCACGAGAAACAGGTAAAACCACTGATTGCCAAATAGTGCAAAATGGTTTCTCTGGACATAATGCTGACATCCAAAAGAAGGTATTTGAACCAGTAAAGTTTCAAAACAATATTTAATTGTAACTTCAAAGAATTTAGGAGTCAGTAACACATAGTAATGTCACAGCAATTAACAGAGGGGTGTTAATCTATGTATGACTACAAGAAATCAAAACACCACATAAAAGTCACCATCAATGAAAGCAGGCTAACATTATTTGTACATCACACTGAAAAAGATTACACAATAAATGGGGAAAATTAATCTGTCATATAACATCATAAATTTAAGTGGAGGTGCGCTAGAAGGAATTTACCCCAAGGCATCTGAATTGTACATGATGAATTACCTTAATGAACTAAAATAAAGCAGAACACATGTCACAGAATAAAGTGCTATCCAAGCTTTCAACAAAAGATCCCTTATAAGCTTTCTCACCTTCAACTGATACTGAAAGGAATCATCCTTTATCTTTCCTTCCTCCAAGCCTACAACAAGCTCTTTCATCAGCAAGGGACTGTAGACAGACCGTCTATTTTGGGAACAGCACTAGGTTCTCCCCTTATAAAGATGCTAAACTTGGGTTATTTTATTACTTAAAAAAACCACAGGTAACTAATCCCCCTTTATGCAATTATTTTTTGCTGTGAACAGGAGGAAACAGAGATTTTATATGTGGCTGACCAGTCATAAAGAAGAGAGAACCACTCTACAATACGATGATAGTCACTTGTAAAATGACACTCTCATGTCTCTATTCCTCATTAAAACATTCTTGGCTTAACAACTGTATTATTTGTAACACACTTTGAATGCATAAAGTACTAAATATCAGCTAAGCTCTGTAATCCGATCCTTAAGTTTATTAATGTTTTGTGACCCTCTGTAAGATTTGGTAATAAGGGACTAGTATTTTTATATATCACGGAGTAGGATTCCTGGGCCCCACCGCGTGCTCTTAGGTAGCCTGTTCGTATCAAAACCCTGTTCCAGAATTGCAGTGTGCTTCCTGTCTGCCTGTACTTGCAATTGTCTGATCTCACGTCACCGGCTAACTTGTTCTGCCCAGCTCTGACCTCTTGGCTGTGAGTCACACCAGCTCTCCACCTTTTGCAAATACAGTTCTTCTACACACAATCTATCACAGAGGACGTGATCCGTTCTTTTCCTCGTGACCTGAAGAAAGGAAAAAAAGCTTGTAGTTTTATTATATTTTACTTCTTTTCTGTATGTTTATAGAGTAACTGATAAGACCACAGCAATTGGTAGGGCTATGACATCAAATACCTGCAAGTACTCTGACTGAGAGAATTACTTTCACTCTACTTAAAATTACTGTCTTTGGGTTTGGCCATATTACTGCTAGCACAGTATTTAATTCACAGTGTTTACAAACAGCTGGAAGATACATTTGGTAAATATGCCTAAGATCTCACCGGTAACAGCTGAGAAGGTATATATTACGGCCTCCAAACTAAGAAAACTGATAGAAAGCACAATAAAGGAGAGAATTAGTAAACATGGACAAATGTGATGTACCATTGAAGAGTCAATATGACCTTTCCAGTGTAAAGAAGCCCACAGAGGCAATCATAAACAGCACTACCGAAATTAAAATACTGTAGTCAGAGTCAGAATTACCATAATTCGGGAGCAAAGTGAAGGATGGTCTCTGATCATTTAAGACAGAAATAAAAGCCCACCATTACCTTTTGACTTGAGCTTCTATTAAAAATTGTAGGTAATGAAGCCATATGGAAAAATATTTCTAGTCTCTCATGTTTTAAAAATTAGCATTCACCGTTACAGTAATTATTGCAAATAGTTTCTTCTTTTATTATCTTCCCCAATCCCAGCCCTACAGCTGTGTATTATATTTTATACACCCTACTACCAAAAAAGCAATCTGTATGGCTACAATCTGATTGGGTTTTTGTACCTGGAGACTCTTCTGTATTTTAAATAATTGCAATGACTATACACTATTTCCCAATTCAGCAACACTTCTCCTGCGTAAATACCAAGCAGCTGGTGAGTTCTGGGAGACAGAAATTATACTCTGCCTCTCTCCACCCTAATCACTACAGAACTAAATTCCTTTCTAGCATGAAGCAAACAAGAAGTTTTGTCAATTTTCCATGTGCTGGATGCCCTCCAATGTGATTCCAATACAAGGCTGATTAGCAAGTTTATCAAGGTGCTCATATTGCTGATCTCTACTCCTTGGTATAAAGGAGTGTGTAAAAATATTTATAATTCTAGTATTCAAAGAAACACTCACTCTATATGATACTTTAGTTAGAGTCATTGCAGATTTATCACGGACTAGACCTGGCATCTCCAGCATCAAAACTCTAAGCTCATTAACTCCTACCTTTCCTGGATCCAGGCACTGTTAAAATGTAGACTATCACACACACAGCACATACAGTGGCTGAAGATTTCCTTAAGAACTATTTTTGCTGTGTTGCTATTTTCTTGCAGATTGAAGGTAAGAAATCCTTTGGGAGCAAAATACCTCACAGTACAGCAGACAAGTAACACAATCTTTCCGCATTACTTTGAAGAGAAACAACATCCTATTCAGCTCCTCGTTACTGTTTTTCAGTGAACTGCAATAATGCAAAGCACAATTGTCAAATATCTCTAACAAGCCATAAAGTTAATTATGCTTCTGAGTTCAGTTTTAAAGAAGTGTGTCAGAACAAATGAAAATATATATAAAATTTTAAAGAAAAATGTAGAAAGCAAGCAGATTGCTTGTTAAGCCTCTGCAGGCATTCTGAAAAATGATAAAGGGCTAAAATAGCAAAAGCCATACACAAAGATGAACAATTCGCTGCCCCAAAGATAAAATGTTCATTTTTATCTTACTGTCAGAAGCAGAATCTCTCTTTCCTGTACTCTTCCACAATCTCCTAAAGGATTCA